GCCTCTAGCGCGTCGTAGCTCAGGTGTTCCAACCATTGCTTCTTTTCGGCTTCCTTGAACAGGGGCTTCGCCTCGTCGGGGATCTCCTTCCACATCAACTCCTTCTCTTGTCTCTTTGCGTGGCCTCTCCGGGTCAGGTCGCGCTTGACCAGTAGCACTTCGTCCGCTCCTCCTCCGTAGGGAGCGGGTCGCGTCTTTTGTTTTAGCCGTCGTAGTGGTAGATGTGGTGGTGCTTCGTTGGCGGTCTCTTCCATGGTCTCCTCGTCGACGGCCTCGTGCTCCATGTCCAATTCGATGGGGTCGTCAGGTATGGAGGGATCATAGTCTGACATGTGCTCCACATCCCCCGGCTCGACCTTGGCCTCGTCGTCGCTGTCCTTGAAGAGGTCGGGGTCGTCAAAGTCCTCGGCGAGGAGCTTCTCCACTTCCTTTCTCATTCCCTTCATCGTGAGGTACTCACCGACTTCCTCGGGTCCGGACGCCCTGAGGTGTTCCGCCGCGGTGAGCCTGCATTTGCCGGCTCGTGACACCCAGTAGTTGCTTCCCTGTCGTCCCACCACTACGGCGGGGCCGACCCATCTTCCACGTCGTCGATCTTTTGGCTGTTCCCAGTAATGAACAGGGTCGCCGGGATCGTAGTCCTTTTGTCGAACTCTGGCTCGCTGTAGAAGGGCTCTCCGTAGTCGCTCTTCTCCTTGCGCTTGATGAAAGGCCACTCTTGCGCTGGCTCGAATGGCCGCGGTCCTTTGAAACTTGGAGTCTTTGGTCAAGTCCCAACTGATCTCATCTCCACCATCTGGGTCTCCGAGCTCAGGTGGTAGGCGTGGTAGTTTCCCGAACACCCATTGCGTGGGTGAGTGTCCGCATCTTCTCCTCAATTCGTTCTTTGCGGCGCAAACGAGGGTGCCCGCAATCTCCACCTCTTCTTTGCCCAGGCTAAGGTCCTGCACGACGCGGTCCCATATGCCCTTGAACCACCCACCTTGTCGTTCTGTGACTCCTGCTTGCCAATGAGCTTGGGCCGCGGCGTCCTTCACCTTGATGTTGTGCCAATCACAGAGACGACTCATCCCACTTTGGATCTTCGGGTCTAGGTCCAAGGAAACCATGTAGGGTGCCCCAAACGAGTTGATCCAGCTCGTGTTAAAGGCTTTCTCGACATCTTCTGAGGTTTCGCTGTTGAGGTGGCACACCACGTGGTAGGTTGTCGCCCAGTCGACCATCGAAAGGAAGGTGTGTCTGTTGTCGTCAATGTCGTGCACATAAAATAGGTCGATCCCAACGCAGGAGTTGAAGTCGAGTAGACGGGGTAGAGTGCTCGGTCTTGATATCAGCGGCTTCTTTGTAGATTGGCAAACTTCACATCGCATCGACTTGACGGCCTTGAGGATATGTTGTTCGCATCCGGCAAGTCGAAGATGACGTAGTAGGTCTTCTTGTCGCGGGTGTGACCTAAATTCTGATGAAGTCGCCGTAGAGCGGACTGGACGTGACCAGGTACTTCTCCGTCGAAGGTTATACCGCTGCCGTCCAGCTTGCGAGGTTGACGTTCTGGAGCTTCCTCCGTTTGCACTGCGTGAACTTCATGCGGTCGCCCACCTTCATGTCCTGGTAGTAGTCGTTGTCCCTTTCTTTCACGTCGAAGTACCACCCACCCGTCTTGCTCACTGTGGTCGTGGTAGCTCACGTACTCCTTGAACACCTCCGTAAGGTCTTGTAGGTCGCGTCCTCGCAACACAACTTCGCCCCCTTCCTCCAACTGCGCTCGGACCAGTCCGATCATGAAGTCGTAACACCGCCTTGGCATCTCGTCCAGGTGCACTCTTAGTTCTTTGGGGGTCGCCCCGGTGACAAAGTAGTGGGCAGTCTCCTGGGCCTTGGGCTCGAGTAGGTCCTCCCATTCCATCGGCTCCACGACGGCCTTGTTCAACTCAACGGCCTCGATCGTCCCCTCGCGCCCGCCGATCTCCATCATGACAATCGGGTCTGGGGATGGCGGGGGTCCATGGACTTCCGACAAGTAAGTTTGGCTCGCCAACAGAAGTGTGGTGAAGAGGACGCTGAGCTTCCCGGCGGTGTTGGCGATCTCGTGGCGCTTCGCTTTGCGCGGGAAAGTGTTCTGCTTGGTCCTTGGCATATTGGCCCCGGTCTTTCTTGGAAGTGGGAACCCGTTGTTCTTGAGGAAGTTCTTCAGTTGCTCGCTTCCCTCGGGGTGCTGTCTGACAGTATGATACACAAGTCCCCAGCGATCTCCTGCCCAGGGTAGGCTCGCGTGCTTCAGGTGGGGGTCGAAGTCGAGGAAAACTTGGTCGGTGTGGTGTTGTCGTCCTGGTATCCAAGCTCC